CGCTGACCGCCCCCATGCCCCCCGCCACCCTGGGCCCGGTCCCGGGTGCCACCCACAGGCGAGGTCCTCCACAATGGCCACTGCGTCGGGCCCATCCGCGGCTGCCTCCGGGCCACGGTGGCCGACGGCCGGCCCCAATGCACGCAGTGCTTCAACAACTTCTACCTGGTGGACGGCCACTGCGCCCTGGCGCATGAGGTCCCCCTGAACAAGCAAATCAGCGGCAAGCACATCATCGACAAGTGCCCCTCGCTGCATTGCATGGACTGCCGCACGCGCCCGGGCAAGTGCGACTACTGCAGCACCTTCATCACCTCCAGCGGCCAGTGTGCCGAGGAGACGCGCGAATTCTTCGACCACTGCGCCACCGACCACCGGCGCACGCTCTTCGGCTGCACGCACTGCCGCAATGACTGGCTCCTGAGCCACCACCGGACCTGCAACAAGGGCTGCCCCAAGGGGGAGACCCGCTGCGGCCAGCAGTGCATCCGCGATGAGGACCTGCCGGCCGGCTTCGACTGCGCCTCCTGGCCCATGCGCACCGGGCACTATGACACCCTCGGGCCCAACCCGCCGACCGTGGACCAGCTCCGCTGCGACGCCCACGGGACCTGCTTCGAGTGCTACGAAGACTGCTCCGCCTGCACCAGCTCCCGCAAGACCGACTGCCTGGCCTGCAACAACAACCTCCTGCTGCTGCCATACAACGAGCAGCGCCTCGGCAACCAGCGCCTCACGGTCGGCCTCTGCGTGGACGAGTGCCCCAGCGGCTTCACCCGCTCCGGCGACCAGTGCCTGCCCTGCCTGGCCAACAACTGTGTCCAATGCTCGGCATCCAAGCGCAGCCTCTGCGAGCGCTGCGGCATCGGCTTCTTCCGCCAGCTGAATGGCACTTGCGGCCGGTCCTGCCCGGCCGGGCAGACCGACATGCTGGACGGCACCTGCCAGGCGTGCACGGTCCCCGGCTGCTCGCGCTGCCTGCGCAACCAGCCCGGCGTGTGCCTCGAGTGCTCGGCCCCCGGGGCCGCCCTCC